TTCCCTACAAAGCACGTGCACAGAATTAAACCATTCTAAACAGAGGACGTGAAGATAATGTGGTGTGAATGATGCATAACAGAGAAGCAGACATTGCATTGGAGGGAACTAAAAGCAGTCATCAGAGTAATAACAGTGAGTTACTGAACCTGTGTGGGAACACTGAAAGCTCACCAACTCACATGTCCTGGTGTTCGCTGATGGCTCTGCAGTACTAGAGCTCGCAGGAACAGTCAAACAGGATCAAGACAATAATCCACACGCAGTAATCCACACAATCCGGAGTCTTGTCTCTAGCACTAGCTGTCTCAGAGGAAGGTGCAAAAAAATATCATAGAAGACAATTATAAATTAATCTGCCCATGGGAAGTGTCTTCCCAGTCCCTGCCAGGTGAGAATTTTGCTTAAGCTTTTGAAGAACATGGTTTATTTCTATTCTATTTTACACCAACGTAAAATATATAGCTATACCCCAATCAAAAGAACAGCTCTTGCTCCTGACTTCCCACCAAGATATCCACCTGTTTCCAACCTCCCCTCTTCAGGGAAGGTCACTGAACAGGTGGTTGTCTCAACCCACATGTGCCAAACACATCTGGATGCTGTCAATCTTCTACTACGCAATGTTATCAGGCTACTGCACATTAAGCGTGCAGATGTGCCCAGTTTGTTCCAAATCCTAGTTCACCAGGGGACTCTCCGAAAAAGCAACTTTTTCAGGCCTGCTTGAAACTGTTCAGAAAGGGAGAAGCAGATGAGGGGGCTCACAGAGCAGTTGGAATAAGCCAGCACTGAAGACAAACTGGAGGCTACAAAACCTGCTGAAGTCTCTGGAAAGCTGTGGGTTGCAGAGAGATAGATCATCACGGAACAGGGGATCCACATTAGGATAAAAACTATTAGCACAGTCAGGATCATGATGGTGGCCTTCTGGTTGAGATGGATGGTTACTGAAGAATGGACTGTGACACTCTCCCTGCACCAGAGGGACTGGACAATTCTGGAATAGCACAGAACCAATAGCAGCACAAAGGGCAGAAAGGCAATGCCCCCAAAGAGAACAAAGTACAGGAAGGTTTGCTCTGGGGTCATGAGGAGCATACAGTAGCGAGCATCACCAATCTTAATGACCCCTTGGTGCATCCAGTTGGGGATGGAGACAGCAAAGCCCATAAGCCACATGCTCATGCAAAGCCAAAACCTCTGGACCTTATTTGTTGAGAAGGAGCAGGTTGGATGGACCACTGCTAGGTACCTCAGGATGGATGTGGCCACCATGCTGTAGAAGCTGCAAAACATGGTCCACATGGAGAAGCTCTGACTACTGATACAGATGGCCACCCCCAGTTGCCAGTCCTCATAGACAAAAGTGAGCAGCAGCACTGTGACATTGTACAAGAGGAAGACCAGGTCTGAAATGGTGATGTTAACCATGAGGGTGTTGGTCATGGTGGAGATAGAGCTGCTGCTGCTGGCTCGAAGACCCTCAATCAAGACCAGTAACATCAACAGGTTTCCCACAAAGCCAACTAACAAAATGAGGCCGCAGCAAGAGGCAAAGATGCATCTGAGCTGCATCTCAGTCAAGCCCAGGAAGTTGTATCCACTCCCATGTGTGGAGGTGAAGTTGGTTGTGGTGTTAGGAGCTAGAAAAACAACTGCTGTGGTTGATGATAAGTTCATTGTTCCAGCCTGAATGAAAGGAGGAGAACAGTCTCAAACGGTAATAAGTAGAAATTGTTATTTAGGTTGCACCTTCCATCTGATCCCGTGCAAACACTTCATAAGCACTGCAGCAGCTTTGGAAGGAAGAAAATGAATTTACCAATGGGGAAGCACAGGGAGGCAATGACTTACCAGAGCTATAGAGAGGCCATAACTCCTCCTCCCTCTGCTTTTTCTGCAAGGCAAAACTTACTCTCAGCCAGGAAGGGATGGCCTTATAAGCATTGTCCATGCACAAACCAAAGGGGTATCTCCGGAGTAACATTAGCTCTGCCAGAACCACTCACCAGAAGCTGATCTTCCACCTATCCGGCTTCCTCCATCCTCCTACAAAGCAGTGACTCAAGTTTATGGCTCAGTCTCAGGTACTGGGTACCAGATCATGCCTCCAAACCCTTGACTACTGCAGCAGCTCTATAGTCCCAGCAGAGCCAGCGTGGAAGGTGCTCCTGGGGTCTGGGTGGGAGATGTGCAGCACTGGGTGACCACAACTAAGAGAAGCACTTACTGTACACCCTTTGGGAGAAGAAAATAGTATAGCTGGGGCATACATGGGCTGGGATGATGAAGAAGGTAGAGCTGATGGTTGTTTCCCTTGTGATTTTTTGAGAGCACACTACTGAACAGCATCTTGGGGGTCCTAGTGAATGCCATTCCTACTCCTCTAGTGGGTGGCAAGTCAGGTAGAGGTCAAGGAGCCTGTTATAGACCTGCCAAAGGGCATCTACACTGCATCTGGGGTGCTCTTGGTATGGGATGCTCTCAGGCCCACCCCGTGCACCTGCTCCCTCACACACCCTGACCTTGGAAATGCAGAGTGAAGCCATACTGGAGATGCCCCTGTAGCAGCTTCACCACCATGTTTCTGGGTTTGGTGCCTGCAAATGGAGTCAGTGCATGGAAAGCACTTGAGGGTGCCCCTTCCTGAGGACATGGAGGATGCAGACATGCCCTATCAGAGCCCAGCTGTTTTAGCTCAAGCAGTGGAGATCTGTGCATAAGGATACAGAAGTCCCAGGTCTGATTCCCTGCTGTCAATGACTTGCCTGTCCCATGGCCCAGTGTAATAGCCTGCTCCTCAGCTGGAAGGAACAGATTTGCTACTATACGTTGCCAAATTTTGGACAAACCAGTTAAAAAAAGGCCTCTTTACTAGATCACCAAAGTGCTCTTTCTTCTCCTGGAGAATCCCAAACCCTCAGCAAGCCGATTCTGTTTCATGCATAGAGACCAGCCATATGCTATTGGCTCATGTGACTTGTCACTTCAACTTCAAGGAAAGCAGCTAAGCAAGAGGGAACAAGAGTAAAGTCTCCATAAGGGACAGCAATGTGGATCTCTACCTTGCTGCCATCTGGGCTGAATACAGAAGCTGTCTGCAGGGGAGTGTGGAAATTTAAAGGTGCAATGCAGAGAAAACAAAGACAGAATTAGGCTCGGGTATTTGACTTGTCAAATAAAGCTCAGCCAATTATCGGTCAAAAATTGTAAAAAAATTTGCCAATTCATCGAAATAATACACAGTAAAAGCACAAATTTGCCATTAAGAAATGTGTCAAAAAACAATAAAAATCATATTTCTATTCAGAAAACTACAAAAAATGTAGATTTTTGTAAAATTACTATATTCTTTAACCGATCAAAAAATATGCAGTCAATTGACTGGTCAGTTGACAGTATTTGACCAGTCAGTTGACCAGCTTGCCAACCCTAGTTAAGATTGTAAATGTAGATAGCAATGCGCACATCCCACTGAAACATCCCATTCTAACCCTCTTTTTCTAGTTTAATATACCCGTGTGGTCCTCTGAACCCGCCAAGGGTTCAGTACAGCTTACAGTTAAGGTGCTGGGTGTTGGACCGCCTGCTTCTAATCCAAGTTCAGTCACCCTGCCAAGTCCATGATATTGCAAGAGGTACTTCCCTCTTCCCTGCCTTAACTGCCCCATGTGTGAATAGGAAAAGATGAGCTTAACTTCTTCCCTGGAAACGGAGGTAGCAAGGCTACATTAATTAATGGTTGGGAAATGCTCCACTGCTAAGGGACGGAGACTACAGTTAGGTTGGTGAAATTAAAGCAAGGATGAATTTCATAGATGGTGCAAGGGCCAAGTCCCTATTGCAGCAGACTTTTTACCTTTCAGACCTTGGGAGAGTGCCCACATTTGCACTAGCTCAGCTCTTCTCATATATAGCAGGCTTCTGTTTTCTTGCCCAGATAGATTTCTTTTGGGAATCCCTGATCTCATTCTCTAGGATTTCCCTGAGCCTACCCTTTGCTCACATGGCCTCCTATTCCCTGTTCACCAAATGCCCTCCAACAGCATCTTTACTTTACCCCTTTTCTTACAGCACCTTCTGCACCAATCTCCAGCTGCCAGCACTTAACAAAGGGACAGCACCTTTGGTGACAATGACAACAATTCACAAAGAACAAGGCTGCAACCCACCACACTCATGGCCCACAGGCCACCTTCCTTCCTTTAGGTTGTAATGATATTTAGTCACTAGCAGCCAGGTCTAGATTTAAACCTTGATGAGCACCTACCTTGATGAGCACCTACTCTGGACTCATTCAAATGGCATTTGGATGTTTATCTTGCGGGGGTCATTTGACGCCAGCAGACTTCCTGCCTATGGCAGGGGGCTGGGCTTGATGATCTTGCGAGGTCCCTTCCAGCCCCTAATGTGTATGAATCCATGTATCTATGAGCAAGACTCTAGGTACGATTGGGAGCCAGGTGGCCCAGTTCAGGATGGACCCGGTACATTAGCTACTTAAGTTCTGGTCTTCCCATGTGGCTAGAAATCAGAACATCTGCCACAGACCCAGTATTTCCCCCAACTACCTGACTGCAGCCAGATCTCTGACATCTGTCTCTCAGGCATCCTGCTTGTATTTTATTATAAAACCTTAATACGGGTCTAGCTCTTTAAGTCTTGTTCCTGGGCATCTGGACATCAGCAGCAGGGACTGAAGAATGGCAGGAGAGAGTCAAAGCAGCAGTTCAGGGGACTTAACATCTGCTGTGCTAAATATGGGTGTCCTATGTGACACCAGTTTATCCTTTGATCAACCTGGCTTGAAAAGTCAAGGTAAAGGAAACTTGCAATAATACCTGTGCCAAACCCCAGACTGTCCTGCAAGGAAATGTCTCTTACAAGGGAAACAGCCTCTTTCTCACTCAAAAGACCGACTCTTTGATCATGGACCAAGACAATCTCACATTTTCTTCCAAAGGAAGAAGACTCACCTGGCCATAGGAGTCTAGTGTAGAAACAGGAGTTGGGGGGTGTAGCTAGTCTGCAGGGGCCTCTCACCTGGCTGGCTGGGAACGTCCCTTCCTTAGATGATACACTTATGGCTGCAGGTTATTTTATTCTTGAACGTCTGGGAAATACAGAGACAAGAGGGCAGAGTTTTCCTCCCCTAGTCACTGGGTGTGAGCAAAGCAGGCTAGGAAAAAGCCAGGTTTCTCTATACGTATGTCCCACAGCAATCTGCAGCCTGTGTACGTAGAAAGAGGAAGCTATTTTAATCCTAGATTTTCAAAAGACTTGTGAACCCAAGTCCTCTGTGACTGCTTGTGGTCATTAAAGATCTCTGTGATTTATTGCACAAGAGTTGGGCATGCTAACACAGTGCCTGGACAAGTTTGTATCTAGGTTCTGAAATTGCACCTTCCTAAATTTCCCTTTACTAAAAGGTGGCTTCATTTGAGCAGGGGATGATGTTCAGAGTGGGGCTAGAGAGAAGCTTTCCTGCAGAGGCTGGGACTCTTCCATCCAGAGAGGACAGTTAGAGGGCTCTCACCTGAAGTTAAAGCCATCCGCCCCTCTTTTTGACACTGCCCCAGACCCAGCACAGGGCAGGGTGCCCTGCCAGGAGGGTCGGAGGAGGTTCTGTGCAGACCCCGGGTGGGGAGCAGCAGTCCCCTGAGCTCAGAGGTCCCCCCACAGCCAGAGCTCTGCCAGGCAGAGCCTCCCAGTGCAGGGCGGAGGAGGGTGTCCCAAACCAGGGGCTGCGCCGGTCCCTTGCGCACCTTTGGACATCAGAAGCTCATTGGGGCGGTGAGCGGCCTCCTGGGCATAGTGTTGGGACCCTTCAACGAGGACAGCAGACCCTGGGATGCTGGTCTGGGTTTTGCCCAGCGCCAGCCCGGCTTGTGGCCCTTTGCCTTTTGAAGGCCCTGGAGGCAGCTCTGCAGCTTGACCTTGGTCTGAACCAGGCCCCGAGGAGGGTATTTGGGCAGGCAGCCTTCCCTGGGTGCCCACATATCCGCGCTCTACAGGACACGGCTGTTCAGCTCCCAGAGGGCAGCCTGAGGCCGCAGCTGCCCCCAAGCCCAGGTCTCCCCGAGAGCCTGGGGGCTGGGGCACGGTGCTGCAAAGTGTGGGCTGGGGGCCTCTGAGCCCCCCTTCTCTGCACCCCCTTGGCGGGGCTCGCACAGGAGATGGGATCCCACAGTGCTCATTTCACCAGCAGCCTAGACCCCTGGTGGGGTGTGACTGAGTTACCTGGTTGGGCTTTATGGAGTGGAGATTGATGTTGGGGTAACGCGTGGTAGGGTCGATGCTGTACTGGCTGATGTTCTTGTTGGTGTTGTCAGCAGACGTCTGGGACAGGTGCTGGTATATGCTTTCCCTGTACAGGGGAAACCACGTGGGTTAGACAGGGACAGAAAGGATTCATGAGATGGTCCAGGCAGATCCCATAGCCGTGACGGTGTCACCACAGGCAGGGGACACTTCCTGACAGTCCAGGGACTTGGGGTGTGGAATTAGTGCTGGTGAAAGGTACCACCAGACTGAAAGTCCAGGAAACCTGAGCCCCTCTTTGTCCACCACAACAGGACAGGCCTCCCCCACACTTGAGGAGGGACCTTCCTGGAGCCGTCAGAGGTGCTCCATCCTCAGGGGGCTCTTAGTCACTGGTGGCCTCAGCCACAGAAGAGGAGACTGGGAGAAGACTTAATAGCTGTCTTCAACTACCTGAAGGGGGGTTTGAAAGAGGATGGAGCTGGACTGTTCTCAGTGGAGGCAGATGACAGAATAAGGAGCAATGGTCTCAAGTTGCAAAAAGGGAGGTTTAGGTTAGATATTAGGAAGAAATTTCTCATGAGGAAGGTAGTAAAGCACCAGAACAGGTTACCCAGAGAGGTGGTGGAAGCTCTACACTTGGGGGGTGTCAAAACCCAGCTAGACAAAGCCTTGGCTGGGATGATCCAGTTGGGAATGGTGCTGCTTTGAGCAGGGGGTTGGACGAGATGTGACCTCCTGAGGTCCCTTCCAACCCGCATTTTCTATGAACACCTTCTCCAGGGATCTCCACCCAAGATGGCCACACTGCTTTGCAAAAACCAGAGGCCTAGGGCCAGATGTTCCAATACATTAGGTGCTTTCAGGGATTGACCTCACAACAAACCTCTGAAAAGGTTATTGCCCCAAGTGGTCAGATGGCAGAAGCAAAGCTTAGATTTCTGGAGTGTCTCAGGATGACTCTCTGATAAAGCCAGGACCCAAATGAAGTTTTTCTCATCTATCTGATTCACCATCTCTCTCTTTCTGCCACAGGAACAAGAGAGTTAATAGCCCAACCTGGGGGTGCGGTGGGACACAATGTCTTTCTGAAGTGAGCTGTGAGGGCAGCCATGGAGGGGTGGTGAGAGGGTAACTTAGCAGCACAGGGGCTGCAGCAACACGATGCTCAGCTACTGAAGTAGCTCTGCCAATAAAGGATTGTTGGGCCAGTTTCTGTGTGCACAGCTGGATTTAGAAGCTTATGGTGCAAGGCAGGGCTAACCCAGATGTGGTAAATTTCTCCAATCTGGAGAACTTTGCTAGAAGCTTGGCTAAGTAAAAGTAAGTATAAGTAAAAAGGTATTCTGAGTTGTAAGTCATTGGAGTCCATCCTGGAATATCCCACATAAAAGAGAGCCTTGATCTCATAAAGCATTTCGATATCTAACCTTTTTTGACAAAGGGACAGGCCAGATTCAAAGAGGTAATGCTGAGACCATTTTTTTTTAATCTTCATTCATCAGCTCTATCCAGCTTACAATGGCCTGTTTTCTTCTTACAGCCTTTCCCATGAAAGTCTGTGTAGTGAAACCTCCCAATCTGCTTCATTCCCTTGATGAAGGATGGATGCTGACACATAACAGAATAACCTCATTCTGGTACTGAACGCTTCACATTACTTTTAATCCCTGTAAATTAAAGCAAAGGCAGACAACTTAAGATGTAACATATACAGTACAGAACAAGGGAGCTCATGCACACAAGCTGGGGCAGTAACACCCAGAGAAAATGTCACTGCTTAATTTGACACAGTTATAATTAACTCCAAAAAGTACACAACAATTTAAAGCAATTAATAGATACGGTATCTATTTGCATACCACATACCACCCCTAAATACGACACACACACCTTGTTTTTGGAAAGGCAGGATGAAAGGGGGGAAAAAATTCTTTCAGTCTTACCTGCCACAGGCTCACCATGCCTGACTGCTGGCTGTATGAAGCAGGGGCAGACTGCACTCATCAGCATTACTTCCCCTTCCCTTGCTAGCCCACCAAAAAGTACTGCCAATTCACCATCAGCCATAAAGAATCATAGAAAATGAGGGTGGAAGGGACCTCAGGAGGTCACATCTAGTCCAACCCCCTGCTCAAATCAGGACCAGCCCCAACTAGATCATCCCAGCCAAGGCTTTGTCAAGACGGGCCTTAAAAACCTCCAAGGATGGAGATTGTACCACCTCCCTGGGTACCCTGTTCCAGTGCTTCACCACCCTCCTAGTGAGTAAGCTTTCCCTAGTATCCAACTTAAACCTTCCCCTGCTGCAACTTGAGACCATTTCTCCTTGTTCTGTCATCTGCCACCACTGAGAACAGTCCAGCTCCGTCCTCTTTGGAGCTCCCCTTCAGGGAGTTGTAGGCTGCTATCAAGGAGAGGGTTAAACCCCTAGTTTTTGGCTAAGCAGCAAGGGGAGGGGCAGTGACACTAATGAGTGGACTCTATGTGCCCAGGAGGGAGCAGGTCACAGTCCCCAGCATCCCCATACCTCCCTGGGAACCCATTTCCTTACATAAGAGATGTACTCCAATGTTAGATTGTTAGTTTTGGGGGGAAAGGGTGTGCGTGATATATGTGAGTAAGTATGGTATTTTTGAAACCATACAGATGTGGTCAGATTTTTTTACCATAATAATGGTTGTCCATACTGCTGTCAATCATATTGGGAATAACTAGTGCATTGTCTATTCCAGTGGTTGTTAACCAGGGGTACACGTACCCCTACGGATACTTAAAAAGGTCATACAGGGTACAGGAGGGCTCCCACTGCTGTGTGCACCCTGATGGAAGGGCCAGGGAGCATGTGCCCCCCTCCCGCCCCGAACTGTGTGCAGGGCAGAGGTGGCTGCCACTGTGCACTGGGCTTTGAGCGCCACTGCAGATGCCTTGGGAGCAGTGCGATGCCATGTGCCTGCTGCCACCAGGCTGTGCTGTGCCCTCTGCCCACCCAGAGGTGGGAGATATGTGGTGTCGCACCGCTCCCAGGGCAGCGGGGTGCAAAGCCCAGCATGCAGTGGCAGCCACCTCTGCCCCACGCACAGATCGGGGGGGGCATGTGCCCCCCAGTCGTCTGCCAGGGTGCACGCAGCGGCAGGAGCCCCCCTGCACCCCTGGACGAGCCGCCCAGGATCCGGTTGTCCCACAACCTGGCCCAGTTGGGGCCCCATTCACCCCAGCCCCTGCCCGTGCCTCACTTCCTCCCTCACAGTGGGGGCCTTGATCTGCCCCCCACCAGCTCTTTCCTCTCCCCCACAGACTTACGTGCTGGGGGGCTGGGGGGGGCTCATGTGCGCATGCTCTCAGCCCCCTAAATAATTTTAATATAAAGGGGTACATGAGCGGAAACTTTGAGACAGAAGGGTACACTTGTTAAAAAAAGGTTGAAAACTCCTGGTTTATTCAATGGGGTTTTCAAAAATGCTCATTGGTGGCCTTGCCCTGCTCCCACTAACTTCAGTCTGAGCAGAATTAAGCCAACCCTCGCAATTTCTGAAAATCTTACTTTAGGGTAAAGGCCTGGCCTCAGTGAAGTCCCCTGGAGTTTTGTGATGGAGGTCTACAGGGCCAGGCTTCTCTTGCAAGTCTCCCACAACTACTCTAGCACTGCTGATAGCAGTGATGGCCCAGAGCACTCTCCCGACCACCACCGTTCCTGCCAGTGGCCCAGCTAGGGGTGCTGTGCTTTTGTGCATCTTTACATTTGCCAGTCCTTGCAAGAACCAGAAATGGATGCCCCGCAGCAACACACACAAGCCCGGGCTTGTAGCTTTTCCAACCTGAACTCTCAAGACAGCTATTCCTATGAGATTTCTGCCTCCAAGGAGAGTCGGTAGAAGTTGGGAGCTGTGGTGCAGACAGCAATTTCAGCTCTGTAGGCATGGCTCCTGCCTGCATTAGCCCTGTAATGCCCCCTGAAAAGATTTTTCAATTGCAGCCGTGTTTGGTCTGAGAAACCAAAGAAAATGAGGGGGCTGACACAGCAGTTGGAATAGGCCAGCAGTATGGACAAACTGGAAACCACATAGACCACAGGGTTGTGCGGCAGGCTGTGATTCACCAGGAGGAAGGTCACCACCCAATATGGCATCCACATCACCACAAAGACCATCACAATGGTGATGATCTTGGCAGTGACCTGCCTGCTCTTGCAGTGACAGTTCTCAGCACGAATAACCCCTCCCCTTCGGCACCAGAGGAATCGGACAATCTCCCAGTAGCACAGCACCATCAGGAGCATGGCAGGGAGGAAAGCCACGCCAGCAAAGAGAGCAAAGTAGAGCACAGTCTGCAGCTCCGTCATGCACAATATGCAGTAGAGCCGGCTCTCAAGGCTAATGACCTGCTGGTGCATCCAGCTGGGAATGGAGACCACAAAGCCCAGGATCCAGGTTAAGCTGAGCAGCAGGAGTCTATGGCAGCAGGTGGAAGAGAAGGAGCACGTTGGGTGGACAACAGCCAGGTAACGCAAGACAGAAGTGGCCACCATCGTGTAGAAGCCAGAGCACATGGCCCAAGTAGACAGACTCTGGCTACTGATGCAGATAGCTGCCCCAAGCCTCCAGTCCTCAAAGAGGAAGGTGAGGAGCATTACTGGTACATCATAAAGAAGGAAGATCATGTCAAAGACAGAGATGTTGATCATGAGGGTGCTGGTGATAGCAGTGATATTACTTTTGCTGCCCTGGAAGCTGTCAGCAAGAACCAGGATCATAAGGAGGTTTCCGGTGAGACTCACCAGGACAACTAGGCCAAGGCAAAGGGCTAACAGATATCTGATAAACAAGCAGGAGACACCACTCAGCCCATAATGAATGCCATCTTCGGGAAGGGAGGTGATGGTGTGATTGCAGGCTAGGAGGGCACCGTGTCTCAGAGTGGGCTTCATCCTCACCTGCTTCTGAAGACTGGTGGCTTGTTAAGAAAGCAAACAATGAGTTATGAATGGGTCTAGAACATAATGTGTAATTCTGATTATGGTAAGCTTTCTCCCATCTACCCAGCACTCGGGACATCAACTATCTGTTGCACCCTTGGACCCCTCCCAGCCCAGAGACCCATTCTGATGTCCCATTTTGGGGACTTAAAAGACCCACAGGTTTCTGGCTAGAGGGTTTTGCCCCTCTGCTCAGGGTCGGACTGATCACCACATCTGGGATAAGGATGTAATTTTACCCCGCAGTCAGATCAGGTCAGCCTGTGAGGTTTTTGCCTTCCTCTGTGTTGAGGGCATGGTTTTCGTCCTTGGATCGCTTGTGCATATGTTAACAAACTACTTCCTGTCCTTGCTCTGGCAGGACACTGACGGTGCCCTGTTCCCCTTCTTTACCTGTGGCAAGTTGAAGGGTGCTTGTGATGTTTCAATTATAATTAGGGATCTCCATAAATCGTGCTGGAAGTGCCCCTGCAGCTGGCTCTTTAATGTTTTTCATTTTGCTACTTGCTCCCCAGCCCCACCACTTTATGCATCCAACAGCTGTATTCCTTTGGTAAGGATCGCATTGTATTAAGGTCTATTAGATTGTGTTTGACAACTGAAATATGAAGATGCTCTTAAGAAGTCATGAGACTAAATGGCTTGTATTCTTGTTCTTCACTGGGAGGGCCCCTGGCGGTAGAATGAGTTACCGAAGAAGAGTGCCCTGAATCCAAACGTACTTGTTTTCAAAAGCTGGCTAAATATCTTTGTCTGCTGCAGGCATCCCAACAGCTGTGAACACACAAATGAATGAAGCGGGCAAAGAAAACTTCCTGTTGCTGGAAGAGTCCAAGAGCAAAATCTTGCATTGACTAATGAAGCTCTAAACAAAATACTAGCTTAGATCATAGACTCTTAGAGAAGTAGGGCTGGAAGGGACCTCCAGGGTCCGACCCCCTGCCTGCGGCAGGATCGTCCCTATCCAAGCCATCCTTTGAAAATCCATAATCTAAACTCTTCATAAAACTACCATGAACTTTGACGCAACACAAGACATAACACGGTAACCTGTCACCAGTAAAACAGGGGGCCATGGCAGCCAATGCCCTGCTTCTATAAAAGTTGGGAGCTTCAGACATACTAACGCTGTTAGCTGCACACACACACATGCATGCACACACTTTGAAGTAGACAGTGTAATGCTGGTGCTACTCCCTGTAACTGCTTTTAATATGTGTATTCAGGCAGGGCCTATTATTCCAGCATCCTCAGAACCCGAGGTCCTGGTACTATGGGAGAGATATCCATTTCCACTCCATTAAAGTCTGGGTATAAGCAGAATTAATCTCATTACCTCTTTGCTACATAAGCATAGCAGCTCTCCATTGTACTTGGAAACTAAGCTGTTTAACTGAACATACTCAGTCCTTGAAACATTACATTGTAGAAAAGAAAGGTCTTTGCCTTAAAGCACTGTGGTAATCCACTAACCTCAGTGCTTCATCTAAGATCACCCCTTTCTTTGATTATTAGATAGCTCTTGCCTTTGCTATGCTAGGCAAGCTTTATATATACACATATTTGACTCTCTCTATCCTAAAAGAGGAAATTATTGACTGAATTATGCTTTTTGTTTCTTTTTCTATACGGCAGCAAAAAAGTGATGCCCAGAACTTTTCCCAACAAGGAGCTGAATAGCTTGCCATCAGGTTCTCAAGGAAAATCTGAGGGGCAAATGCAAAAAAACCCCTTCTTAAATCAAATCTGAAAGTAGGAATTGTGATTGTTAGGGAACATTTCCAAAAACCTGCCATTACCATTACCCATTCCACCATAACAGCCACCTTTCTCAGCATCCCATCTGCAAGGTTTCTGGGAATGTGTTTTGCTCTGCAAAGACACTAAAAAAGCCCAGGGAAGTTGTACAGCAAAGGCAACTTGAAGAAACAGAATTGAAAGTAAACTCTAAAGACAGAAAGAGATAGACCTGAGACAAGAAGAAGGAAGGAAGCTTTCTCATCTAATTCAGCTGTCCAGGTTATTACCTTCAAGGTAGTCTTGGCATTGGTCAAAGGGGCTGTGTCCAGCACAGATTCACAGACTGAACCTCTGTGATGTTGCGTTGTGAAGTCTCCTGCTTTATTCTTCTTGCGTGAACCAATAGAAAAGGATACGAGAAAGGGGAGGAGGGGACCAGGCCCGGGCCCCTCCTTTCACATCTCCTTGGCATTTTTTTATTACTGGGCCAGGAGCAAAATGTATATGCAGCGCGTTCACCATCAGCAACGCCCTGCAACAAAATCATTGCCTTTTCAAACTAGCCCTATTGAGGGAAACCATCAGGATTGCCCTCCAGAGCTGAGCCCATAGAGTTAAAGCATACAGGATGGCAGAGAAAGGCGATTTTAAATACTAATGAGTTAGCCACATACTGCATCAGATTGCATGACTGACTATCTAAAACTTACTGAAATGTGTCTTTGGGGAGCTGGACTTCTCTAGTGTGTACATAGCTACTTATTCCCAGCGCTGCAGTAGCCCCTTATAACCTCAGCCAACAATAAGGCCCCGTTGTGTTAGGCTCTGTGCATCCGTACAGTAGGGCCAACCTTTTTGCTACTCTGATCCCCTTCCCCTGCCTGATCTGCTGCTCTGCTTTCTGCTCCCCCTTTGGGGTTCCTTGACTATTTACTGCTCCCCGTGGGCTCTTTGCTAATCTGCCCCTGTTTTCTGCTTCCTGCCCTAGATTCCCAAACTATCTGCTTTTTGGTCCCTGCCCTGTGCTCCCTGCCTGATCCGCTGCCTTGCTTTCTGCTCCCTCCTCTATCTGTGGCTGTAGTGTCATCTCTTCCCCGATCAGCTGTGGGCCACACACAGAGGTGGCCACCCCTGCAATAAGGGACAGTCCCTGTCCTGCAAACCTTCCAGTTGACATAGTGAAGGCAGATAAAAGGGGGGGGGGGGGGGAAGGCTGGCCAGCCCTATGGTAGAGATGGGGAGCTTAGGCACCAAGCAATTAAGCCTCCTTCTCAAGGGTGCAAGAAATTGGGGCAGAGCCCACAGCTCCTAAGGTCACCGTAAAATTCTGCATGATCAGTCAGCAAATCAAAAACTCTGGGCTCAGGCCTGCTCCCATGAAGCCAATGGCATTTTTACCATTAGCAGCGGTGGGGCTTCACCAGAAAACAAGGGAGACCAAGGCTAGGACCTGGTAGCCCTGAAGCACCTTAAATAAGCCTGCAATCTGTAGCGCAGATCTGCGTGTAGGATGCCTGCAGCTGCCTTTTTCCTCCTCTGCTGCAGAGAGGTGGGCTTTAAAGCAATACATTTCGGGAAAGCCATGCTATGAATCCTCCTCTCCAAGGCCAAAAGACAGACTTCAAAGTCTAGCACAGCCATGTCTTTTTAAAAGGGCACTCCTAAGACCCAGATACAATTGTGTCCTAACGCCACAATGCAACTAAATACAAATGCCAGATGCAAGTACAAATATGGTAGACACCGTCAGTCCTTTAAAATGCATTATCCCACAATGAAATCTGGAATAGCCAAAGCCAAAGCCATAGCCATGGACCAGTGAGGTCCATAAGGGAACACAGTGTTACAGAGCCTTCTGCAATGGCTTTTTCATGCTGCATCTGTACAGCACCTAGCACCACAGGGGCCCTGATAATAAATTAAACCCACCTGGAGCTACTGTATTATACATGATGTAATAACTACTCAGTATGGATGGGAGAGTATGAATCTGAGAGCACAATGAAATTTAGGCTGTAACTCAGCAAAGTTCCCTTGCTCTGAAACCTGCATATCAAAGCGAACGCGAACACCACCTCGCAGAGCTTCTGCAAGGTCCAGTGATTACATTCAGAGACCTATTTGAGATGACGCATTTAGCTCTTCACCTGTGGTCCAGCTTCAGCCTCATCAGTCAGATCCTCATGCGACAGGAATACTCAGGACTTTGCAAGAGCAGCCCCCCCTGTGCAAAGATAACAGAAGAGTCATTGCTCTATTGAAACCACCGGATGAACCTCCCTGCAAGCACCATCAGGCCTGTGCGTCCGCGGTAGAAATAGAATCCTATTGGGGGAGGTCTTTAGGGAAGAGAGATCCATCTTCTACCCCAGTGAAAGCCTCCCACCTCCTCCGTGTTCCCCACTGGGACCTCATTAACCCAGACCAAAGGAAATGAGGTTATTACCACCTAGCTCTGAGAGCTCTCACATCATCAGCCTGACTCATTATCACAACTCTCTCCACCCCATGCCCAGAGCAGCGGCACCATTAGCATTCCCTGCAGAGGTGGCTGCTGAAGTCCTTCTAAGTGAACAAACACATGGAAACCAATCAATAGATGCTTAATGAAACAAGGAGATCAACACCTACCGTACTTGCTAATCCCCAGGTAAACTCTAACCAGTATAGAAACAGGCTAATAGCCAGTCCATCTGGCTGGGCTCCAGAAAAATAGTAAATAACATTTCTGTGCAACTATAGCATTGGAAAAGGGCACTCTGGCAGGCTGCACAGCTGAGGCCCAGAACCAGGGACTGCAAAACCTGGAAGCTGCTTCTGGCTCTGCCACAGACCTGGTGTGGGACCCGAGGCAGATTGCTTCACTGCTCTGCCGTTCTGTTCCCTCCTACACTGTGGCTGGTGTCTTTCTGTTGTACCCTCCTCAGGACCATCTCTTACGGTAGACTGCCTAACACAGATTTGGTGCCAATGCATTTTTGACTAGAGACCCCCAGCAGAAACTGTGCCAGTTTGGAGGTACCTTACACCAGAGGAGAACAAGAGATGCCCTTTTATCTTTCATAGTGTTTTTTTTTAATTTTGTTCTGTCCTCACCACCTGCGTTTCTGAGCCCCTTCCAGGAGTGCATCAAACAATGTGATTGACATCTGTCAGGTATCATTTGTTTGCTCATCTTCTCCTCATGCAAGGTGGTGTGTGCTATAGGATGCCTTGCTTTGGCAGATTTGGACTATGGTTTTAGCCACGACAGTCCAGTAAAATATACAAGCAACAAGGACTTTTTTTGGGAGGGGGTCATATCTTTTATTGGACCAGCTACATAGCTGGGAGAAGTGTCAGATGAGCTTTTGGGCACCACGCGCCCTTGCTCTGGGCATACAATAGCTTGTCCAAAGCAGTTGCAGTCTCCCTTGGGGCCTCTATGTACTACATGATAAATAAATGCTGGTTTTCTGATGGAGCATGATGGGTTTATGAGCAGAATTACACAGCGTGGTGACTTGGGACCAGACTTGAGGGACCCACAAGCTCCCGTGCGCTGCTATGTACCCATGTGTTCCTAAGGAATAGTAGTGTCAATCCTCTCTACTTAAGAGGAATCAGCTAACAAATGCCCTTGAGAGAAGAAAGGAGCAGAAATCAGGTACTATTGTCTGCACCTTCGCATTTACATGCAGTCATATTTATTAACATTTTGGTACAGCCCCCGGGCACAGTGGGGTTACAATCCATGAGGAGACTCCTGTGAAGTACTGAAATAGAGATAATTACTAATAAAGGTCTGGGTTTCTAATGAGCAGTGCCTCACCCTGTCTGGAGGAGGAGAGAAAGACCAAGCTGTATTGACATTATAATATGAATTGCACTAAAGTTTTACCCGCAGACAGGATCTCTTCTATCATTTTGGCTGACCTCCTGCGTAGCAGAGGCAGGAGACCCTACCCACGCTTCCTGCATCAAGGCCAACACTATGAGATAACCAGGCTGGACCCCGCATGCTGCACGATCTACAACCCTGTAAGAGCTTATGATCTAAAAGGATGTAGGAGTGGACAAGACAGATGAATGCAGCCCAGGTGCAGGGCTGGAGAAGAGAGTAACGAATATAATGGGACATGCTCCACTCTGAACCAGTCAGTACTACATCAGTTCTTTGATCACAGAGAGGAAGCGACAGGTGAAGGAAGAGCGCAGAGCTATGAGTTTTCTTGGCTAGTCCACCCTCTGCTAGCCCATTGCCCATGAAAAAATAAGTCTGCAGGCAGCACTGGCTGCATCAGTAGGGCTTGAGTCTAGGACCAATGGCTCTGACAGCATGATTTGCTACTGCTTGAACCACTGGTGCTTGGCATTTCTGGACCAGGGTTGATCTAGAGCCTGGATCCACTGCAGGGTCAGTCCACAGGGTTTGTTCGTGGGTGCAGTCTAGAAGGCTGGCCCAATTTCATGCACCCAGATTTGGCCATAGATCAGCCTGCTTGCACACTGAAGTGATCTAGCACACAGGGCCATGTCATCTGGCCCTCGGGGACATGGACATTTGGAAGGGGGGCACTGGCAATTAACATGGTCACTGCTCCCCTTCCACAACATGGGGGACATGACACAGCTTCACAGGCCAGAGGTTGAGCATCACTGGCCTAAGCGAAAAGATTTATTCCTGTAGGAGGTTCAAATACAGAGGAGAGATAGAGAGCGCAAGCAAGAGAACATCACGCCAAGGGTACACGTAGCAACAAAGGGGGGGCTTATCCCTTTACACCATTAGTTCATTTGCCCCCATCAAACCCTGCATACTGCCACTGCTTCAATCTTGTGCGGATGCACAGAGCCCCCATGCTCACTGCTCTAGCCAGGCCTCCTCAAGAGCTTCCTCAGTCCAGCTTGGTACTGGCTAGAGAGGCCGAAGCAGACAATGGGGTTGACGCAGCAATTGGCATAGGCCAGCAAGGCAGTCAGGTTAGATGCTAAGTACACGGGGGCTGTACTCAGCAACCCATCCTCCCGTGTGAGGAAAATCACCAGCCAATAAGGGATCCACATGACCACAAAGGCCACCACGGTGATCAAAGCTATGATGGTGGCCCGCTTGTTAACTTGGAGGCTGGAGGCTGTGTGGATGCCTAGAGTCCTCCTAACCCACAGGACACAGATGATCTTGGAATAGCACAGGATCATCAGTAGCATGGCTGGGAGGAAGGCCACCCCACCCAAAAGCCTGAAGTAGAGAGTCATGTGCCACTTTGTCATTTGGTTCACACAGTAGGTCTCTTCCCCAACCTTAACAATAGTGTAGTACATCCACAAGGGGATGGAGAATAGGAAGCACAGCATCCATATGGACATGCAGGCCCAAGCAATGTGCTTCTGGGAGACGGACAGGGTGCGAGTGGGGTGGATCACAGCCACGTACCGCAGCACTGAGACCGCCAGCATGCTGTAGAAGTCTGCAAAGATGATCCAGAGGGACAAGCTGTGGTGGCTGATGCATACCATGTACCCCAAGCGCCAGTCCTTGAAGATGACATTGCCCAACATCACTGGGACATCATAGAGAAAGAAGATGAGGTCCAGGACAGCAATATTGACCAGAAGGGGCCCAGTCAGACGGGTCACATGGCTGACACTGGTTCGCCTCAGGTTTGGGATCAGGACCAGGAGCAGCAGGACATTTCCAGGCATGCCTAGCAGGAAGATGAGAATGTGGATGGAAGCAAACAAAGCCCTGCTTTGTTGGAGGAAAAGGTCACTCAAACCAGAGCTGGAGCCATTCTCTGCTCTGGAGTTGCAATGATCGGTCATGGCAACGATGGAGCCCAGCAGCACCAGTCACCCTGACCCACTTGTTTAGTCCAGCAGAACCAAGGCTGCACCTTCCAGTCTGATGTGTTGAAATCAAAGGACAAGGTTAGATTGGCTCTCTGCACCTGAAAGAAAATGATACTGCTGTAGATACGGCTCAAAGGATAAGTGTCAAAAGCCCTGCTCCCCATAGAGCAAATGAAAGAGGTCTTTAGGCAGCAGGAGGATGAGCAACAAGTTCAGGGAAGAGCCTGTGGGAGAAGCATTTCAGGTTCATGGAGACAACTATTAGAAAGCAGAGGTGCAATAGGGTACAGCATGTCTCCTTTGGGGGCAGGATGGGGTAGTGAATGCTACTCTCCCCTGGGGTTCTTGTATCAGGACCTAGGGCTGTTCGAGGACTCGAATCCCAGAGCCCCGATTTCCAGCCGTCTGCTCTAGCTGCTGAACAGCATATCCTTTCCACAAGGGAGGATATGCCTGGCAGCCTGGGATCGCAGGGTGAAGGATTCATGGTGCTGAGAACATCAGGGTAATTTCACAGAGGCAGATTTTAATTATCGGAGGTAGTCAGTCTGATCTCACCAATGGAGAAGCTTAGCAGGGGTTCAGGGAGAGCGTTTAGAAGAGGTGCATGCTTCTGGGATTCAACAATCAAGGCACAGAGGGAAGAAATAGGACCACCAACATCCACAGCTGAACATGGTAGATCCCATCCGTGGCTGTAAGTTCAGATTTCTGCCAGTTCAGCTACATCTGATAAAGCAAATAGCAAGCTCCTTGGAGCGGGAACCTCAAAACCAGCCCCACAATTGGCAATTATTATTTTCTTTTCAATCTACATTTCCGATTTACAGTAACCTCTGAGTGTGATCATCTCTTGGAGGTGATTGTCTATGAAAGGTGCGTGGGCTCCCCAATTCACAGCGCCTGCAGTAAGCAAGGTGTGTGCCTGTTAGTTTTGATCACCAGGAAGAGAATGATGGATGAGGACTGCTGTTTGCAGTGTCCCAAACTGCAAAGGAAGTGACTGTTTTGATGAACACGCAGGTAAAGGGGGCCGGGGAGCAATGGGAAAACCACTAGCATTTAAAATGCACCAAAAGAATAAAAAGACTGTTAACCACATCCATCAGTGCTCAGGAGAGGTCAGCTCCTCTGCTCGCAGGCTGGGAGGGACCTTTGGGCACCCAGAGTGACTGAACAGCAGCATCTCTGCAGGGGCAGGAAGCTCAGGACAGGGGGAGTTTGTTGGTGATACAGGAACAGAAGCTGCAAAGCCTTGATCACAGTGCAGGGGCTGTACCTTATTTTGGACGCTCTAGTTAGACAGGGGGCTTCTCACTTGGATTCAAAGAGAGATTTCACTGGCGATTTGCATAGCAAGCTGCAGTGAAACAAGCCTGGACTCCCATCAGCCTTCTCGATCATCTGGAATCGCACCGGGAGCCTCACCTCATCCTGCTCTTACATTGTGAAGAATCACTACTTCCTTGGGCAACGTCGGGCCCGGGATCCAAGCTCTCTCCAGAGATACTTCCCCCGGTTCTGCAGCAGAAATGGAGCCAGTCAGCACACTGCTGTATTTCTGCATCCGGCGA